CTCGAAATTTTTCATATGTATTTAACGAAGATTTTCAATTTGTATCAACTATGTAGTCTTAATTTCAAAAGTATGATGTACTTTCGACTAACTTGAACTAACACAAGATTATTCATTGTATATCTCATTTTCAAAATTGAAAGCCTGTGTCACACTTAATCAAGTCTTTTAGATCAATAAAAGACTAAAGTGAGAATGAGAACTTCAGTAATTCTGAACTAAAGCTTTTGAAATCCTCTAAACTTTCACATAGTGATAACTAACTTACTTTGAAGTCAACAGATTTTAATTTGTCCATCCAAAATGGAGTCCATCGAGGTAATCTCGAATAATTTTGCTGATGAATAAGTGTTTATTACAAAATTCATCAATCTACATTGAGCCAGTGATCCTGGGTGTATAATAGCAACAGAAAAATTCATTTTGCCTTGTTTATTCCGTTGAAATTTACTACTTAATTGTAAATGAGTAGTTCAATTCTGCTGAATCAATATTCTGGAAGGGGGTTGATTTACTTTCACCGAACAAAATGATTTATTTTAAGAAATAGATATTTAAAATAAAAGAATATATTGAAATTCAGAAAATAAGTTACTTTTGATAAAAATTGTTTCATCCGAATAAGCGACAATATTTTCATCGTAAGGTTGATAGTTAATGTTTAAAAATCCATCGTGAATGAATCCACCATGGTTAAGTAAAATATCTAATCCCCCATCAATGTAGCTGATTTATAGGTTGTCAGTAATCAATTAAACCATCTACAATCACTGTAAGACAGCATCTTCAGAAAATCACTTAAGTGGAATGAAAAGCAGATCAACTATACTAAGAAATTCCAGTCTGTGAAATAATACATTTTAAAACATGACCACAATAAGCATCCCTTTACTAATTCATTGGAAATCAATCGGCATTTGATCCGAATTCATGAAGTATGATACAAATACTCAAATATGTATGAAAATGTTTCGAAAATATAAACAATTCATCCATTCGAATCGACTGTCCATATTTTCAGAGTAAAATCATAAATTACACGCTAGTGAACAATAAAATACAAATCGATTAATGCCGTTCTAAATATTTTATAGTCTTTAGTGCTTTATAGGTTACTAATGCAATTGATAAGACAGTGATAAAACGATAATGTATTTTACATCTATCTATACTTGTTAAAAGATGTAAGATAAAATGAACATTTTGCCGAGATAAACACTTATTTCAGATGGTCTTACAAGTTTAGATATGTATATCTGATAAAAAATTGTTCTTGCTAAACAAAAGTGGCTAGAATAACCACAAACATTTAATATAGTTTTTAAAATTGCTACATTTTCAAGATCGCTTTATTTTGAAGCAACACATGTGAGTGGCTTTTCATAAGTCCATTTTTAAATGCGATCACTTCTCTCACGTGCCTAGTATGAATAAGGAAGTAGAACTAACAGATTGCTGGACGACGTGTTACAATTTGGCGGTTAGTGGAGTAATAAAATAATTGCTTCAATCCACTAGTCACACTCAATAAGAATGAAAATAATTATTTGGAGGTGGTGCTATTTTCACAGTCAGTTATGTCATTTATGAGTTTTATTCGAAGTCTACAGTATGTCCAATCAAAGAGTTCACACATTTAGAAATCAAACGGAGACTACTAATGAGTAGTATGAAACTTATAACGAAATATAACCACCAGTAAGGGAATGAAACATGAATATAATAGTGGTAGATAAATACACATAGTGACACTCTGAGGGTAACATCTAAAAGTTGCAATGGCTGCATTCATGATACAAATCGATGCGCTAAATTAAAAAAAGCAATAAAGTATGTGTAAATATCGGTTTCAGTATTATATTATCACTTTTGAGAATATGAACTTTCTAGAAAAAGACTATCGATTTAAACTACGAACGAAAATTTTTTGCTATGTTCACCATTTCTATCAGAAATTGAAATAAATATTCACAAATCGTGACAATGAAATTGTAAGATAGACTCTCCCATCTTAAACATAAATAAATTTTAATAGATGAGTTCATGAGTCAATTAAAAATAGACCACTATAGAAAACCTGGAAGTACTGGACGGCCGTTTCGTCTTAGTATGAGACTCCTCGACAGTGCGCATCCATTAAATCCTGAACTTAACTATTAAGTTATTGTGATCTCCACACCAACTTTGTGTTAAAAAAACACTTGGCTACAATAGATCGCACAGTTTCGGATGTGGCAGTTTTTATCAACTATTACACGATTAAGTAATTGGGATCCATTTTAAATTGTAAGGTATCTTGCTTTCACAAATATTTTATATTCATTTATTATTGTGGTCCTGAACAATTAGTGACAATTGTGTAGTAAAATTTTAGTAAGTATTACAGAAGATAAAATATTAGTTACATATCACAATACATTTTTATGAATTTCTTTGAGACAGAGAATAGAATCGAAGAATAAGGGAGTATAGGTTTTTTGGCAAATCAGAACCATATTTATAGAGATGAAAGGGGAGAGATTTATCCGCCCCTCAATGCCCTCGTATTACTGAGAATGGGGATAGTCCGTTTTTCGTCTTGAAATGCTCCTACACGGCCACTCGTATGCACCTATTACCAGGGAAGTCCTACTCACTGCCTTCGCGCTGGAGTGTTTACGAAAGTGAGAGGAAGAAAATCGAATTTCCAGAGCTTTAACCGAGTTTGTAGATATAGATGATCCATCTAAGGGAGTTGGGAAACCCAAACTCCAAACTGATGGTGTAAGAAAACTTCAGGATTCCAAGGGAACAAATGGTGTATAAGTCTATCGTTAGTCACTGGCTACGATGTACCTGTATCTCCCAACGTAGCCTGATTACTTTTTGGACTAGACGTCTGGGACAAAGACTCGTGGAATGGATCTCTGAAAAAGCTCGCTGCTTCGGTTTGGGCACTCGTACAGTATTCCAACCTTCACACAAATCGAATGACAAGGTGTGGCATATATATATATACTTGGTACTGATATTATTGTGTTTAAATATATAGGGATTATTTGGGAAAAAGATATCTGTTATCACAATACACGATAAAATGAGTTGCAAAACAAGTTTTTAATAGTATTACCGATTTCAAATAGAAAAATAACCAACAAAAACACCATGACTCCATATTAAAAGATTGTCAGGCACATTTTAAAGAAAAAATAAAAGTACCAACAAAATCTAACTAAAACTAATTCATTTTTTTTGTTGTTAACTTATATCGTAAGTGATAGTCTTATATTTCACTTATCAAATAAATGGTGAATTTATAGAGGTCCTATTGACAGTCGATGATATTAAAATTCAATTAGTAATTATTGATGTCATTACTGACTAATAATAGTAGAGTAAATTGTGTCAACTCGAAGAATAATTGAAACTAGAAAAAGTCAAATGTTAGTTACTGTAGGCAAGAATATAATTTATGGACAAGCCAATCAGAAGCGTCTGGGGGATTTCAAGGCCACAGCGCCAATTTGAGTACCTGACGCTGAGGTGCAATTGGTTCACAGAGGATTTTAGAGAAAACGTGACAATTAAGCGGCTACAATAAATAAGACTACTAAGAAGTTCCTTTATTTGCAATTGCAGTAATCAATTGACTTGTAGACCTTGCGCACACTACAATGATGATGTTGTCGTCCGATGTGATATATGTTAGAGGAAAAAGTCTGCTAGAATAGGAACTTTTTTCTCTGGATGCAAATTGAGACTAAAGTAAATTATAATAATTACTGTGAACTGTATAATAAAAGCACCAGTATTATTGGCTGCAATATTCGCAAATGTTAATGAAGCTTCGGCGGTTCAGAGGTATGAGTGTTGTAGGGATATATACGTGATAAAAATCACAAACTTACACAACCGGAGTACATAAAAACAATATTAAAGCTATGTGGTTGAGGCTGAGGGAGTTTTTATGACCGAGTATTATGGAGCCATATGAATGAATTCCCCTACCTTATGCATTAGGATTTTAAAACCTTTGAACCTCTCTCTATTTTTGACAGCTTTTTAGACCATGTAAAAGAAGTGTATCCACTCTAATTCCTTGGTGTTGTATAATATATTTCTACTCTATACTGTCTTCTGATTGGCTAATATTTCTCAAGGTCAATGAAGATTCGTTCAAAGGTCGTCCATAAATTATAATCTCGCCGTTTCTGTACTCAATAGCATATTTTTGTCATGTTCTAGACTAGGCCTAGATTTTTTTTCTTTTTTAAGATGTTAATTCATGGATAAGTGTTCTTTAAGACGGACACGTAGATCACAATATCCGTATGGTTCTCTTTAATTGTTAATCGTATATCAAGTAAATAACTTTTTATGGACAAACATATAATTTCAATTAAAAATAAAACAAATTCACTGGCTAGCTGTAATTTTATATAGTTAAACTTTCATTTGTTTATTTCAGTAATCGATTAGTTTTACTGAAAAATCGAAAAAAGGAAAAGTCTAAATTAAGATGGTTAGTGGCTAGCAGTGGAATCCAGGACGCACGTTTCGTCCTATTTGGTACTCGTCAGCTGTTGCGAAAGGTACAGGGTTCGAGTCACCAAGTCAACATCAACTCTGAGATGCTAGTACATCCAGATGACGAGTCCCAAATAGGATGAAACGATCGTCCTGGATTCCACTGCTAGCCACTATCCATCTTTGCTTACCATGCTTGTGAAATAAGGCTATATCGAGGCAATACACACAGTATGCACATATGCCAATAAGAGACTGACCAGTTGAAGTCCTAAACATCAATGGGAAGATTTAAACAAACAATACTAAATGAATCTAAAACTAAACTAGGTTTCGACTTTATGACAAGTATTTTTCTTTGTTTTAGTTAATTTATACTTTCTATAATAATAAACATAGTAATATTTTAATTATAGTGTATGTTGAACAATAAGTAAATACATTTATTCATTATGTATACTTACTTAATCAATCTCTTCAGGATACCATTTCTGTTAACAGATATTTTGACATATAATATATTCTTGTGGAAATATTTCAGAAAATACATTTGCTCCAGGTTTAATTATCATACAATCAACTTGAAGTTGTCCAGTTGTATATGTAGATAGAACTACTAAAAATGAAATTGAACCTTTCATAGATGTCCATTGACGTGTACATTTCTGAAATAAGTAGAAACCGAGTTGATATAATATAATTTTGAATATTATTCAATTCGTATGGTATTTCCAAGTGGAGAAATGTGTTTTTCGGTTTTTTAAAATTGTACAAATGAATCTTATTCGTAAAATTAACTTAGCTTATTGATATCAAGCATTTAAGAGTAGAGATTTGATACTACAATTAAGCGTATTTATTTGCTTAAAAAAACAGAAACCGTGGGATTTAGACTTTTTAAGCTTACATGTTTTGAGTGAGAAGTAATTATCTACTACTGATTCTATAGATTAAAGAATTTTGTCAATGAAATGTTCATACTCCACTGATCGACATTATACTTTAGAACTTAACTCATTATACAAGTAAATAACTTTAAAAATAAGTCTGCTTTTGTGTTAATTCAGCATGTAGCATACATAATATGATTTATTGAGAAATAGTTGCATCTAGTCTCACATGTACCTATGAATGGAAATAAAGGGTGGATGATATACAGAAGGGGGAACAGATCTATTTATCCATAACAGATATTCGAACGAATTTACATTTACATGAAAATTGGCTAAACATCGATTATAAGCTCACGCATAATACTAACGTTTCAGATGGAGAAATGTATATGGGCACAAATATTTCTAACAGTTATGATATTCGGTTTTTAAGGTACACACTAAAAACAAATAGATCTCTAATGCCTCCAGCTGAAGCGCACGACTTGAAACATTGTACATAAAGATATATAAGTACATTCATTCCTATTTTTTAAATATATAAATAACACATTTACTATAATGGTATGACAGAAATTCGACTCCTTCATAACACTACGATTGATAAGAAAAGACCAATCATTTCTAACTAAATCTTAACTCATTGCTAGTGAACTATCAGGCTAAATTTAGGTCACGTTTTTAGAGATCAAATTAAGCTTGTAAATTATTTAAATAGATGAATTGCAAGTGTGATTAGTAAGTTAGGAAATTTGAAAATGAAGTTAATAAACTGAAGGAATGATTATTATATCGGAACAATAAACATCTAAAATTCATCTGAAAGTGACTTCAAAAGTCGGAAAAAAGAATAACATTGTGATCATGGATAAAATTGAATTTTTTAAAAATTCCTTGAAATTCAGTTCGTGTCTCGGCTAAGGGTAAACAACAATAGCACCAGCAGTTAAACATAATAACGTAAAATACTTCGAAGCGTAACTAACAACTTTTTAATTAACGTATTTACATTAAGTACTAATATTTAAGTCATTTCATTAAATTGTTTCATACTTGTACAAGCTAAACCAGATAATTGTAGCTGCAATCGAAATTGAAATGTTACTTTTAATACCCACTGTAGTCAGTTACACTGGAATAAGTAAGGCAGTAGATCGTAAGTTATCATTCAGGCGATCTTGTTGTAACATGAAATATCTTGAATAAGTATTTAAATCCGTTTTTAATAGTTCTCTTGCTTATATGTAAATACTCAAATCCTGTCAAGTTAGACTGATTTTCAAAACAAAAAGTTGGGCATTTCTATAAGTTAGTTAGTGGATTTTATGGACGAAATATTTTATCACTTACCGTACACGTAAATATAGTTTTAGCTTCATCTTGTACATACAGTATATGAAAACGGAAACGTTTGCCATTCTGAGTTGTTTGGCTTTCGATTGATGAATTTACCTGTTCAACAGTTGACAAACTAGGATAATGGAGACTAACTACTTTATCAATAAATGAAGGAAAACGAAGAATGGTATCATCAACTAGTATGGGGACTTCGTTCACTTGCTTTATGCTATTCTGGATTATTCTTGTAACTAGATCATAACTTGGAAGTTCATTTTCAAAACTGTGAATATAATATTTATTCAAAAATGATGAAGCATTTTGATCTACTGGCAATGTATCCTTATTAATACTATTCAATTTATTCAGAATATAACCTAATGTATTCACTGACAAAAACCTTGGTGGTTGGGATAATGATCCATGTATCTGTAATAACTGTGTGACATAAAAGTAGTTGGATAGTAATGTAAAGTTTTGTATTTTGCCAATATTTTGTTGGTGATCTGAGAGTAAATTTATGAAAAAGTTGTTTAAATGATCCGTATTTTCTACAGACATTAACTTACTATATAGAAGGGGTTTTGTTAAAATACTATCTGGAAGAATATTCAAACTATTTGAAGCCAGTAAGTTTTTAATTAATAATAGTTGGTTTATATCAGTAATCACGTCTGTAACAGGATTTTGATTAGGTGGAAACAACGTTTTATGATTATTTAACAATGGCATTAAAATTGTATAATGTTGAGACAAATTAGCTAAGAAGTTCGACCTGACCTATGCCACTAACGAAGTTGGTATTTGTTGAATGAAATTTGACGAAAGGCTCAAAGAAGTTTGTTGTTTATGTAAAAAGTTTAGGAATTGTTGAGAATGTTGCTTTACTTGTATGTATATCTGGGAAAAACACGATGATCTCATTTGTGGAATCAATAAATTATCATTCTTTTAGTTCATTTCACAAGTAGGACTTGTGACATTGGATTCCTTAATGTTTAAATTTATTCCAAGATATATAAGAAGTAAATGAATTCTTGAATATGACCTAGTAAAAGATTCATTTTGACAATAACTGATTTCCTTCTTAACATTATCTCTAGGTCGAATCTTTTGCAGTTTTGCAAATAACCATAGATCTGTTGGTAATCTGGTTATAGTGTAGCAGGTTTCCATGAGACGATTTGAAAGTAATTGTGCAAGCTGCCTGAAAACTGGGTCCCAATGAGTTTCTTTGATTTTGTAGGTGTAAATAAATAATTAGCTGTCAGAAATATCCACATTTAAAGATTAAATTTTATTTAATAGAGAGATTTAGTAAAACTCGATAACGTAAATTAGTAACATGTGTTTATTTGTCATCAACCGTTTCAGTTAGCAGAAAAGGTGTTAAAAATGAGAAAACAAAGGACAAATGATGTCAGAACTTCATAAAAAGTAACTACAAAACTAAACAGTCCTTATACATTTAACTTTGTGCTAATTATGTGGGCAGTAGTACCTTGTATAGGGAAACCGACCTCTCATTTTAGTAAAAGCTATCCTCAGATTAACTTTATCTTTGATGGAACAGGTACTGCTGAAAATCATTTCGATGCAGTTTTCTGAAGGTATTGTACTCATTTTGAGACATGAAAGCCAAAGACTTCAGTCATGAACTAAGTCTTTGGTGTTCACTATTGTACAGTCCCATATTAGACAGAAGTAATTTTGAATCTTTCTATAACTTCCAGGAGTTTATTATTGGATGTCAAGATCGTGATAAAACAGTCTATGAATGAGATAATCTCCACACACTCCTTTTTCTAATGAATATCTTAGCCTAATGTAAAAATAAGCGTAACTAGAAAATAAAAAGGAATTTTTTTCCACTTTGTCTATCAAGTAACTTAAGACAGAGAATGTTACGTTGATGCTGCTACCAGCTATTAACGTTTTGTCCTACTAACCTTTGAACAATTTTTATTGACTAATTATACTTTCAAGTGTGCCAAGTTACATATAAATTACGTCTTACTATCCAGATGTAGGCAAACAACTTTTTTTGATGTGGAAAGCAGTTCACTGTTTAAGTGTTAACAAAGTTCAAGGGGATTTTAAAACAATCATTAATAAGCGGTCAGAATAACCTATGAATGTTGACTCGTCATTCAAACAGTTCCATGAATTAGGCGTCAGTTAAATAGCTAATGACAGGCTTTGTATTTAAGAAATTACAACTGTAGTTAGTATGATCATCCAAATAAAACAGTATGGCATTAAAAAACTTTTAAAACTGAATTTTTGTTTGCATTTAATTGACCAGCTAGATAAATTAACCTAACAACTTCTATGTCATTTCAATTAACATAAAGAATAAGCGAAAACAGCTCCCAGTCTATCCTTATTGTATACCTGAGCTACCTTGTGAATGAATACAAATTTCAGCGAGACTTTAATTTATGGACGACATTTGAACGAATCTTAGGTGACCCTGAGAAATGTTAGCCAATTAGTAAACAGTCAGTATAGGGTAAAAATATTATACAAAACCAAAGAATTAAAGTATGATCCAAAAACATGTCAAGGTTAGAAAGAGGTTCAAAGGTTTTAAAATCATAATGCATAAGGTAGAGGAACTCATCCATATGGCTCCATAATAGTTGGTCTCTGGAGCCATGATAAGATCACAAAAACCATCTTAGCCTCCATCACATAGCTTGTTTATGTACTCCGGTTGTGTAAATTTATCCGTTTTATTATGGATGTGTCCTTAAAATATTCATACCACTGAACAGCCTAAGTTTCAGTAACATATGCGAATATTGCAGCCAATAATACTGGTGCTTTTAGTATACAGTTCCCGGCAATTATTATAGTATGCCTTTGTCTCAATCTGGATCGAGCGAAAAAGGTCCCTATTCTAGCAAACGTCTTCCTTCAAAATATGTTACATCGAAGGACATCACTGTAGTCTGCACATGATCTACAAGTCATTTGATCACTGCAATTTCCAATAAAGGAACTTCTTAACAATCTCATTTATTGTAGCCGCTCAATTGTCACGTTTTCTCTAAAATCCTCTGTGAACCGATTGCACTTCAGCATCAGGTACTGAAATTGGCACTGCGACCTTGGAATTCCTCAGACGCTCTTGACTGGCTCGTCCATAAATTATAGTCTTGCCCGAATTTCTTAAAAAGTATTTTTTTTATATATAACCTATAGGATTTTATTGATCGGTATTCAGTAGTTTACTGATATAAGTTATGAAAATGAACTCAACGCTAGTCAGTCAAATTCACAAATATAAGTTAATGTCTGATTCATGAACCTTTTAAAAGTTTTATGTCTCATACAGTGATTAGTATAATTTCCCACATATAACCCTAAACCAAAAAGCAATGAAGCCATTTTATTTGATCGATTCACTTCAAATGATGTTTTCCATAATTTAAAAACCAGCATATAATGAAATGATTATACAACAGATGGATTGCAAATGTTACCATATTGTTACGTGACTTTACAAACTTATGTCAATAATTTATATCTTAACAAAAGATGTGCATAATTGAAGACTTAACGACGCTGACAATTTTTTATTTGACCAACAATAAACTGATTATTATCAGAAAGGGGTTTTGTGGATGCGCATTGTTGAGGAGTCCCATACTAGGACGAAACGGCCGTCCAGTACTTCCAGGTTTTCCATGGTGGTCTAGTTTTAATTGACTCATGAATCCAACTAATAAAGTAAACTGATTGTTATTTTATAAATGTCAAATATTAAATCTTCAAAGAAATGTTTACACCAGATAAAGAAATAACTGATGTAGTATTCCCTGATCCTTAGTGCGAATACATTTTATTGATTTATTAACTATTGATGTTAAAGTTGACTTTAAAGCTTTCTATTTTGAGTAATTAAAATTGGATTAATTTGTTATCTGCTTTAATCGGATTTCCTGTCTTTCGTATAAATTAGATCAAAGTTACAACATAATGGATAGTAAGCAAAGATGAATGGTGGCTAGCAGTGGAATCCAAGACTCTCGTCTCGTCCTATTTGGGACTCGTCAGCTAGATGTACCTGCATCTCAGAGTTTATGTCCACTCTGGGACTCGGGCCCAGTACCTTTCGCTTCAAACGCCATCCCGCTTGCAAATTAAGACTATATCGAGGCAATACGCACAGTATGCACATATGCCAATTAGAGACTGACCAGTTGCAGTCGTAAACATCAATGGGAAGATTCAAACAAACAATACTAAGTGAATTTAAACATAATGGATAGTTTATCAGTTATATGTTCACCTGTATATATAACATAATTTATCACTTCTATCACTTATCTCATGTCATTAAATGAAAATTCGAAAACATCTCTTTAACAATGGGCATGATGACTAACCAGAATCATCTTGTGAAATAATTTACTCAGTCAAAGAATTGTGATCGAATCAAAAACCTGTGTACTACTGATGCCTTAAAAATTCAGCAATTCCGGTGTGAACATTGTATGAAAAAGTAATACATGTAATCACTCATTATTCATTTGCCCTAACCTCTCTTCTAATGTTAGTTTTTATTATTATTCCATTTTTTATGTTAACATTGTGTTTATTAGTCCGTAACCAGTTCTATTTGTCCTCTTATGGTTTTTCATAATTATTATTCGATTTACTTAGTATTGTTTGTTTGAATCTTCCCATTGATGTTTTTAGGACCGCAACTGGTCAGTCTGTAATTGGCATATGTGCGTACTGTACGTATTGCCTCGATATAGCCTTATTTCACAAGCATGGTAAGCAAAGATGGATAGTGGCTAGCAGTGGAATCCAGGACGCACGTTTCGTTCTATTTGAGACTCATCAGCTGGACGTACTATTTTTATTTTCTTCAATGACAGTGAATTACTTTGGTTATTTAAAAACGCTTTGTAGGTGATTATCGTCACGAACTAATGACAGCTAGAGAACAATTGACAATCTGGAAGTTGTACGCAGATGTTTTGCGTTAGTTTTGAATTCTTCGGTAAAATGTGGGTTTAACCCCATATGAGATTCAACGAAGAATCTTCAATAATTACAACATATGGGAAATATCCAGTCATTGTATTGGAAAGAAAGTGATTTCATATTTCAAATATTACTCACTAAAGAAGCAAAATTGATTTGTTTTTATAACCATTTACTAGCTTCGTTCAATCACTCACATTAAAGATTTCGTGGTTAGTTATTTAGGCTCAAACTTTTAGATGAGCATTACTTTTCTAGACAGTGAAAATACCTTCAGGATTATGAATGTTAGACAAAATTGTACCTAGATCTAAGATAAACTTTTGATTACCTTCCACAATCAAATCTAAGTACATTTTGAGCAGTGGTGTAAATCAAGCAAATTATCAATAGTGATATATGATGAAAATAAAAGTATTCTGAGAAAAGGAAAAAAGAATGAGAAGAATGACACATTAAATCATTTCCAAGTGTTCGTTAAGTGACAGTGTAATGCTTTTCATTGAATGAGTGACGATGTCCGTCTATTTTTATGTGTATGTGAACAGAAAAGTGGTAGA